AAAAAAAAGGCTCTGATTTAAAAGAAATCTTACATTGAGTCCTGAAAAAGTAACTGTCAGAATAACTAAGCTTAAGAGTGATATATTGATTGGTTTAGATTTTTAATGAAAAAAATAAAGATATATCAGTGGGAAGTTTATAAAAGTGACCTGACATTCTAAGATTTCTTTATTTATAGACTGATGACATGGCCTAAGTGGTAAGTGGTAGAGCCTCTATCTAGCAAGCAGAAAACCTTGAATTCAACCCGTGCGCGCGTGCACATGCACGTGTGTGTGTGTGTGTCTGTCTGTCTGTCTGTCTGGTCTGTGTGTTAGATATGAGTGCTGAGGATCAAAGCCAAGAGCTCATGAAGTAAGATTTGAATCATCAGCCTTAAACTGTTTTTCTAGAGATACAGCATCTAGAAGAAGGGGAGGATATTTCCCTCATACAGTGTCAAAATCATATGAATGCTGTACTTAATGGAATAACTTTTACACATCTTCCCCCTCCCCTTTTTCCCCTTTCACAACGGGAGTCATTTCCTACTCTAGCTTTATTCCTCAGCTCACTGCACCTACAGGTTATGGCTTGTGTCCAGATTCATAACTAATCTGCCTTCCTATAAAAGACCCACTTTTTCAGGTAGCAAGTCAAAGTCTAACAAAGTAGACATCGTAAGTTCTGTACCCCCTGTTTGTAGATCTGCCCCTGGGGGGGTGGCACAGACTGTGCCTGGTTGAATACAGCAGTAGTAGCCTCAGCTTTTCAGGCTACATAGCTTCATCCTTGTGGACTTACGCCCGTGATGCCTTTCTGTATTTGTTGCAGTTTGCTTATACTTCCCTATTGCTTTAACTTTTACCTAGTATCTTAACTCGTTTTCTGCTGCTAAACAGAATACCTGAGGGTAGGGAGGTCATAAAGAGTTTACTTGGGTTTATATTTGGGGAAGTCCAACAGCATCTGCTCAGCTTCTGGTAAGGGCTTTCTGGTGGTTTAGCTGAGTGTATTCAGGAGATGTAAAGGAGGATGAACTTTTAGGATAGTTACTGAATTCCTGTAAGATAAACATCCATCCACTCATGAGAGAAGACCTATTATGGCCTAAAAGCCGCTTCAAGGTCTATCCCCCATCTCTGAACAACCATCATAGTAGGAACCAATACTTGAGTTTCTAGCAGGGAAAACTATATCCAAACTGTAGCACCTTGTATACAGATTTTTTTTAATTTTTATCTATTTTTTTCTATCAATTGTGAGGTTTGAACTTGCGGCCTAGCTACTATTCCTGAGCTCTTTTGCTTAAGGCTAACACTCTACCACTTTGAGCCGTAGTGCCACTTCTGGTTTTGTGGTATTTAATTGGAGATAAAGAGTCTTATGGACTTTCCTACCCAGCCTGGCTTTGAACTGTAATCCTCAGATATCAGCCTCCTGAGTAGCTAGGATTGCAGCTTTGAGCCACCAGTGCATGGCACCGAATTCTTTTGTGTACTTTCTTGAATATGCTCAGTTTCCTACTTCAGACTTTTCATAGTAGCTAGAGAGAATCTACATTCTCATAGCCCACTTTTTGTCTTAGAGTTCATTCATATCATGTATCTTTCGAGTTCATTACTGCTCTTTTTCAAGATTTTTCCTTTCCTATATTCCCTTTACCTCTTTCACATACTAATACACTCGCTGGACAGCCCACCTGAATTTTGTTTTCACTTTGTTACAGTACACTTGAGAATATGAATTATTGTCATATTGTTATATATTGTTATCCTAGAGATAAGCATTGTGATCTGTAACTGTCATTCTAACAACTGAGGCAAGAGGGTTTTGAACTCAAGGCTCCCCTGGTCTGTTGAAGGATAAGGAACCTTTTTTCTGCCATGGGACCTTACAAAACATTCACTGGCCATACAAAATTGTTCATGCAGGGGCTGGGAAGGTGGCTTAGCAGTGGAGTGCTCGCCTGGCATGCATGAAGCCCTCGGTTCAATTCCTCAGCACCACATACACAGGAAAGGCCAGAACAGGCACTTCTCATGTGTTAGAGCAAAAGAAGTTCAGGGACAGTGCTCAGGCCCTGAGTTCAAACCCCAGGACTGACCCCCCCCCAAAAAAAAGCACAAAATTATTAATGCAGATGGCTATGGACAGAGAATATAAGAAGCATCCATTTCTGTCCCATGATTCTAAGGCCCACAGACGAGATGTTCCCCACCCCTAGAGAGAGTGTAGATAGCCAGGCACTGGTGCTCGCCTTATTCCTAGCTACTCCAGGAGGCTGATGTCTTAGGATCACTGTTTGAAGCCGGCCCAGGCAGGAAAGTCCTTGAGATTCTTTATCTATAATTAATTGTTTTAAGGCCCCCTTGTTCTGAGTGCTCTACTCCTCCAAAGGTGAGACAAGCCTCTAAAGTGAAATTGACAGCATCTTTGTGTCTCCAGCAGTTCCTGTGTGCATTCTAGCAGGACCGAAAGCCCCACCACACACTGTCCACAGTAACACGCCAAATCTTTTCCTCACAATTCGGGGAGCTGACGAATGTTAACCACCTGGGAGGGGCGCTGTGCCTCAAGTAGTAGAGCGATATCCTTGACCAAAAAAGCAGCTCAGGGACAGCGCCCAGGCCCTGAGCTTGAGCCCCAGAACTGGCTAAAGATTTTTTTTAAGTATACATAGCTCCAAAATTTTAAACAATAACAGTCTAATTAATAATTGGGTAAATGATTTGATCAGACTTCTCAAAAGAAGCACAAATGGCCTGTAAGTACATGAAGAAATGCTTGCCCTCCTTAAACCATTAAGAAAGCAACAAAGGCTGAGTGGAATAAGGGGAGCAGGAAACCTTGGTACACTATTTGGGGAATGTAAATTAGCGCAGCCAGGATGGAGATCCATGTGGAGATTTCTCAAAAACACAAATACTTCATAGCCTTGCTATACCGTTCCCGGGGGCAGATACCTGAAGGATGTAGTGATACCTGAACAATCATGTGTATCCCTGCTTCGTTGCTATTTCTGGGGCATAGAAACTTCATTCTCTCTGAATTGTTTTTGAGAGAATTTTCTGAATTTATAGATGGTCCTAAATGAACTTTGATGACCAACAACCTATACTCCAAGTTAATGACTATTGAGAAGATTTTCTGGGGCTGGGAAGGTGGCTCAGTGGTAGAGTGCTTACCTTGCATGCATGAAGTCCTGAGTTCGATTCCTCAGCATCATATGAGCAGAAAAAGCCGGAAGTGGCGCTGTGGCTCAGGTGGTAGAGTGCTAGCCTTGAGCTGAAGAGCTGAGGGACAGCACCCAGTCCCAGAGTTCAGGCCCCAGGACCAACCAAAAAAAAAAAAGATTTTCTACTAGCAAATAGCATCCCCAGGTCTCTGTTTTAAATATTTTGCTTTTATTTTTTTGTTTTCCTAGCTGCTCTTCTAGGGATATGAAAAGCTCTAGTAAATATTAATAAATGATTATCCTTTCACACAAAATTTTGTGTCTATAGTATTATTCCATAGTTATATATAGGTAAAAAGGAACATAACCTTCTCGGATTATAATTATAGATGAAAAATTCTAAGACCTTCAGGACAATATGGGTAATCTGTCAAAGTTGATAAAAGTTTGAAAAAGTTCTGATTTAGTCATAAGTAAGCATTTGTAGTGCATTTTTATTAAGTGTAATATCAACACAGGCTACATATTACTCAGTCTCATCTTGTAATGAATTTCAGTAGGAAGTAATATGAATGGTCAACCTGAAATTTATCTTAATCTTCATATACTTCTAAGGTTTTTTTTTTTAATTCTTATGGCATAGGATTAATTGTTTGTTTGTATTTTTGAAGCAAGGGGAAGTCAGGCTGAAGTGTTTGAAAGCTCTCCAGAGCCTATATACCAACAGAGAGTTATTCCCCAAATTGGAGCTATTTACTAATCGATTCAAGGTTAGTAACAAGAATGATGAACTTATTTTGCTTTCTACTTTGCAAATGCCAGGTATAGCTAATGTGGCAAATGACATTACGATAGCAAGTGTTCAGTTCCTCTTTTTAAAGTAAACTCATGAAATACATACATGAATCTTTGCTTTACAACAGAGGTACCCAACATATGTTCTTTTTCATTTGTCAGTCCTGGGGTTTGAACTCTGGGCCTGGACACTGTCCCTGAGTCTCTTTGTGCTCAAGGCTAACGCTCTACCACGTAAGCCACATAGCCGCTTCTGGCTTTTCCTAAGTGATTTATTAGAGATAAGAGTCTTATGGACTTTGCTGCCTGGGCTGGCTTTGAACCACTATCCTCAGATCTAAGCCTCTTGAATAGCTAGGATTACGTGAACCACTAGTGCTTGACATGTGCTATTATTTAATGCCTTTGAAAGAAGGCTCTCTTGCTTAAACTGGGTATTTATAGTATCTTAATATTATGTTTATATTAAGCTGGGTGCTGGTAGCTCATGCCTGTTAATCCTAGCACTCAGGAAGCTGAAATTTGAGGATTGCAATTCAAAGTTTTCCTGGGCAGGAAAGTCTGTGACACTTATTTCTAATTAATTACCAAAAAACAGCCAGAAGTGGAGCTGTGGCTCAAGTGAGAGAGCACTATCCTCGAACTGAAAAAACTTAGGGACTGTGCCCAGGCCCTGAGTTCAACCTCAGGACCACAGCAACAACAAAAAGTTTCTATTATATAAATGTTTGTGTATTCACATGACAACTAAAGGTACATTTTTTATATTATTTAAGGGATCCTAGTTAATGAGAAAGATTTTAAATTACAAATATACAACCCCCCCTCTATATGAGCACTATGATAATACAGCTTCAAAAGTGAAGTTTTCCATTTACTGTCCCCAGTGTTGCATATACACCTCAGAATACATTTCTCTGGCTTATTTATAGCCATGGTTCATTTATAACTTTTTTTTTTCCCAGGATCGCATTGTATCAATGACACTTGATAAAGAATATGATGTTGCTGTGGAAGCTATTCGATTGGTTACTCTGATACTTCAGTAAGTATAGTATCTGTTACTATGTTAGTCTTCTGACATGAAATGCCTTTTCCCTAGCCTTCCTAATATACTTCATATGAATTTCATCTGACTTATTAATATCATTGCTATGGATATTAGCTTATAGAAGAATTGTTTAGATGTTATTTTCTTGTTTTATCTGTATTTTTTTATTTGTGTCTAACGTATCATAAAGGGAAACACTTTCAAAGTAAGATAAAGAAGCTCATCAGCTTTGATGATGTGCTTTCAAAATTTAAGCAAAGGTAAAACTAAAAGTAAACATTTGTTTTGGTTCTGACTTTTCCAGTGGCAGTGAAGAAGCCCTTTCCAATGAAGACTGTGAAAACGTTTACCATTTGGTGTATTCGGCACATCGCCCAGTCGCTGTGGCAGCTGGAGAGTTCCTTCACAAAAAGTAAGCTGTCTTTGGAGCATGTTGTACTTTGGTGTACTGATGTCAGAACTCGTAGCAAGAAGTCACAGAGTCTGAGCACAGTGCTGAAAGTGTGTATTTCCCAGCGGGCTCATGAGCTTGTCAGTGTCCTCTAGCCTGTACCTCACGAATCACATCCCTGAGATGCTTGTGACATACTCCTCATCCTGAGATCTGAAAGGATGGTTATAGATGGGAACATGCATGGATATCACAGTTTCCTAAGGATTATTCATGTCACCTGGTCATTTTTTCCCTTTGAAATATCTGTCTTTCAACATTAGTAATCTAAAATATGTGAAGTGGTGGCACCTTTAAAAGGTCTCTCAAACTGAGTGCTATTGACTCAACGCCTGTATTCCTAGCCACTTGGGGCCGCGGTGGGGAGAGGGAGGTGAGAGGGGGAAGTGCTGAGATCTGAGGATCGTGGTTCAAAGCCAGCCCAGGCAGGAAAGTTCGTGCAACTCTTATCTCCAATAAACCACTCAGAAAACTGGAAGTGGCACAGTGGCTCAAGTAGTAGAGTGCTAGCCTTGAGCTGAAGAGCTGAGGGACAGCATTCAGGCCCATGGCTGATGAAAAAAAAAAAGTCTCAAATTTTCATGTATTCTTTTCCTATTCTCTCTTCATTGGGATGAAGAGGATTCTAATCAGCAGTCTCTACTAATTCTAATAGTTTATGTATTTATGGTTTATTTAAATTACATGTCCTTTTTAGCAGAACATTGAACTAATGAGAGTTTATAAATATAAACACTTGTAAGAAATACATTTTTGATTATGGATGAGTGTATATGTTCTACAGTTTATTGGTAGATTAGTTCATTCTTACAGTGTATACATTTTTTCCCCCCTAGTCCTGGGCTTGAACTCAGAGCCTGGGCACTGACCCTGAACTTCTTCTTTTGCTAAAGGCCAGCACTCTACCACTTGAGCCACAGTGACATTCTGGCCTTTTCTGTTTATGTGGTACTGAGGAATCAAACCAGGGCCTCATGCATGCTAGACAAAGCACTGTACCTTTAAGCCATATTCCCAGCCAGTGAATACGTTTCTAATTGCATCTTTACCTTCATTTTATTATTTTTATTATTACAGATTTAACGTAGTAACCTTGGTCATTGACAGGTGGACCTTCTAGCCCATTACGATACTCTGTGTGATTATGGGCTTCGACTTTTACGCAGAAGCACAGTTGTAAATCATGCACTGGGCAGCTGTGATACATGGATGATTAACTTTGATAATGAGCAGTCTGGCATTCTCGCATCTGAGTTTTAGTGTTGCAGTAACAAATGATCTTATACTTAGTTGTAATACTTAAAGCGGGTGAAGTCTCTGGTAAGAATCTTTGTTAAATGGTAGCTAAGTCCTAGTTATTCTGGTAATGAAGTTCAAAAAGAAGAAAGTCAGAGTTTACAGGCATGAACATCAGGGCCATTCACACATGCTGAGCAAGAACTCTACCACTAGCTACATTTCTAGTCCCTGTTGCATAAGTTCCAAATAACATTGCACTGGTCAGTTACTCAATGTGAATAGAATGGACTAGAATTAGACACTTCTCATATTTAAGTATCTGTATTGTATCTGTACAATAAGTATCTGTACAATCCTAGTTACTCAGGAGGCTGAGATCAGGAGGATTATGATACGAGAACGTCCACAGGACTCCCATCTGCAAAATACCCAGCACAAAACAGGGGTAGCCATGGCTGAAATGAATTTCATAAATATTTTATAGTTATCTGTACATTTTAGTTATCAAGGACATTCATGTCCCATTTGACACATATCTATAAACCTATGAAGTCATTGTGATAGATAGATCTAGATTCACAATAAACCTTAATGCCACACTCAGATGCCTCTTCCAACCAAATAACTGGGTTTTTTTTTTTGCCAGTCTTCGGGCTTAAACTCAAGGTCTGGGCGCTGTCTCTGAGCTTTTGCTCAAGGCTCGCACTCTACCACTTAAGCCACAGCGCCACTTCCAGCTTTTTCTGTGCATGTGGTACTGAGGAATCAAACCCAGGGCTTCATGCATGCTAGGCAAACACCCTACCACTAGCCTCCAAATAACTCTTGTGTTGTCATTTCCTATTTGATATTTTTTCTTATTTTAGTCAACTTTTATTTATATAAGCCATAATATACTATTTGCCTTACCCCTGTTATACCACTAGAGAATATATATCTATGTATTTCTATGGATTATTTCTGTCTGTCTGCTAAAGCAGGGGTGAGGAACCTTTATTGTGCCAGGAGCCATTTGGATATTTATAACTCCACTCACAGCTGTGTGCCTTACAACATTATTGACACAGGCGCAAGGTCCATGAGCAGCTGATGATGAGAAGCACACATGCCCTCTCATGCACCAAATGGTTTCCCAAGCCTTTTACAGCCTGATAAAGGGAGAGAACATAAAGGTTTCCCACGCCTGCTCCAGAGCAAGAACTCCATGAGGAAACTGCTGTACAGAGGGGTTGGGAAAACGGATTTTATCTTGGTACCAGTGCTTACTTCACTTTTACCCAGAATAGTTCCTAGAAGTGAGGGAACTTTGGTAGTCTTTGTTGTATTAGAAGAAATCTATGGGGACTGGGAAAGGTGGCTCAGTGGTAGAGTGCTTGCCTTGCATGCATGAGGCCCTGGGTTCGATTACTCAGCACCACATAAGCAAAAAGAAAAAAGCCGGAAGTGGCACTGTGGCTCTGTGAGCGCTAGCCTTGAGCTGAAGAGCTGAGGGACAGCGCCCAGGCCTAGAGTTCAGGCCCCACGACCGGACCCCAAAAAAAAAAAAATAGAAGAAATCTATGCAGAAGATTGAAATTTTCAAATCCTTTCTTAGCCACATTTAGAAGTTTTGTCATTAGAAGATGTATTTATAAATGTGAAATTCTTGTCACTACACTGAGAACAGTAACTTTCAGGATAATCAGCTTTACATATAAAAGAATGTAAGATGAATGAAAATTAAAACTGCGAAGTTTTATAATTACTGCTTTAATACTTGGTTAAGTGTCATAATTATCTTACTAAAATCAATATTTAAGAAAGCAGAATTCAGCTGAGTGTAGTGGTAGCTCACAGCTGTAATCCTAGCTACTTGGAGGTAAGAGAAGAAGAGGATCACAGTTTGAGGCCATTTCCAGCAAAAATTTCATGAAAACTCATCTCAACCACAAAACAAGTAAACCTGGATGTGTTGTGGGCATCTCATGTAAATAGGAGAATAATGGTTCTGACTAACTTTGGTATAACACAAATATAATAAAAATACAAATATTGCTTATAATTTTCATAAAAATTTGAGCATTGATTTTTTCATCATTATTTTTCTTCTACATTTTCTTTTCTTTTTTTTTTTTTTTTTTGGTTGGTCTTGGGTATTGAACTCAGCCTGGGCGCTGTCCCTGAGTTTTTCTGCTCAAGGCTAGCACTCTGCCACTTTGAGCCTCAACACCACTTCTGGTTTTCTGGTGGTTAATTGGAGATATGAGTCCCACGGACTTTCCTGCCCCTAGTTGGCTTTGAACCATGATCCTGAGATCTCAGCCTCCAGAGTAGCTAGGATGACAGTTGTGAACCACCCTGGTTACATTTTCTATATGGTTATACTAGGAAAATTTTTTTAGATCTAGCCTTTGACTTATATAGGCATCAGTTCCAGATGCATTGAACCAGATTGGTAATCCCATCTCTCATATTGTCTTTTTTTATTTAACAACACTAAAGTAGTTTGGGTGGTGAAAGAAAACACTAAAATTCATCTCCATGTAAATTGTAATGCTCTTTATTTTTTCTTCCTTTGTCTTCAGGCTGTTTAGCAGGCATGATCCACAAGCAGAAGAAGCATTAGCAAAGAGGAGAGGAAGGAACAGTCCAAATGGGAACCTCATTCGGATGCTTGTTCTTTTTTTTCTTGAAAGTGAGGTAAATTTTTAAAAAGTATTTTTCTTAATGTTATTTAATTCCTTGGGATCAATTAGGATTGTGTTGACCATTGGAAAACAAGTCAGTTTCCTATTAAATTGCCTTGATAAGTCTCTTTTTTCTTTCTTTTTTTTTTTCCTTTTTTTTGGGGGGGGGAGTTCCGGTCGTGGGGCCTGAACTCTGGGCCTGGGCGCTGTCCCTCAGCTCTAGGTTAGTGCTCTACCACTTGAGCCACAGCGCCACTTCTGGCTTTTTTTCTTTTTGCTTATGTGGTGCTGAGGAATCAAACCCAGGGCCTCAGGCATGCAAGGCAAGCGCTCTACCACTGAGCCACCTTCCCAGCCCAAGTTTCTTTTTTTCTAAAGTAGTTGTGCAAAGAGGTATTCATTAAGTCAGATGATGAGTACAGAGCATCTCAATCAATGTCACCCCTGTGAGTTCTTGATTATGGAATGAATATAGATAATTTATTTGGGAAAAAGTTCTGAATATATATGCAAGTGTGGGAAGTGATGCTGTGGCTCAAGTGGTAAAGTGCTCACCTTGAGTTGAAAAGCTCAGGCCCAGAGTTCAAGCCCCATGACCGACCAAAAAACAAAAACAAAAACATTCTAAATGTATATATATATGCAAGTGTAGTTCAACATTGAATATACACTGGTAATTATTAAACTTTTAACTGTTACAGAAACGCAACACTAAGTACTTGAAAATATTTTCCTATCTTTCCCTGTGTTGTTGTATAGAACTTATTAAACAGTCTGAAGGCAAATACTTAGTTCAGTGGTAAAGTGCTTGCCTAACATGTACAAAGTTCTTGGTTCACTTCCTAGCACCAAATAAAAAGCAAAGTCTGTGGAAGTTGTCAAGCTGTTAAGAACATTATTTTTTTTCTTGTTTGGAAAATCTTTAATAAGGAAGAGGGAAAGTCTGAATTTCAGATGTTTGAAATGATAGTACAGTTCCATTAGCAGTAAGTATTTCCATGCTCTGTAGCCAATTGTCACTTAATCAATTTTATGATTAACACTAACATGTTAGCAATACCAAAAGTAAAGCTTAGTTTGCTCAATAAAGTGCTTTATGACACTTTTTTCTGTATTTCCTACTACTGGCATGACATTTAATAGACCACTGAGTTTTGCAACTGAGAATTGAGAAGCTGACAAGAATGTCATACAGGAGAACTGGGAACTTGAGTTGAAAATCTAAGACTCATTGTTATTTTGGAAAAAGTTTTGATTTTGAGATGCTGAGGAGAAGCACAAATTCAAGTTCAGCCTGGACTACCTAGCAAGTTCGAAGCCAGCTTGAATGAACTACCTAGTAAGGCGTTGGCTAAAAAATAGAGAGTGGTGGGGAGAAAGAAGATAAGGAACATGAAAGAGAAAAGAGGAAGAGAATAATTAATAAGAATAGTTTAACTAGGCATACACAACTATCCAGGGGAGCTTGTTAAAAGGACCAGTTGTTTTGTTGTTGTTGTTTTGTCGGTCATGGGTCTTGAACTCTGGGCTTCAGCACTGTCCCTCAGCTCTTCAGTTCAAGGCAAACACTCTACCACTTGAGCCACAGCACCACTTCCAACTTTTTCTGCTTATGTGGTGCTCATGCATGCAAGGCAAGCACTCTACCACTGAGCCACCTTCCCAGCCCGACCAGTTGTTTTTCACAGTGGGACGATGCACTGCATTTCTAGTCAACTTTCTAGCTCAGAGTAGCCATTCTCTATGTATGGTAAAGATTAAAATACTCTTACATTGTCATGTGTTCTGCTATTTGCTAGTGTTGAAAACAGTGTTAAGGGCTGGGAAGGTGGCTCAGTGGTAGAGCGCTTGCCTTGCATGCTCGAGGCCCTGGGTTCGATTCCTCAGCACCACATAAGCAAAAAGAAAGAAGCCGGAAGTGGCGCTGTCTCTCAAGTGGTAGAGCGCTAGCCTTGAGCTGAAGAGCTTAGGGATAGTGCTCAAGCCCAGAGTTCAGGCCCCATGACCGGACCCCCCCCCAAAAAAAAAAAAAAGAAAACAGTGTTAAAACTTTAAGACAAGTATCTCATGTCATTCATTTGTCCCATCCCTTTAAGCATAGACAAAATAATGCTGAATAAAAGGAAGGAAGGAGAAAGGAAAGAAAAATAAAGGGAGCAGGAAGGAAGGATGGATGATGGTCATACAGACAGTATTGCAGCATATTTCCCAGTTCTCCTTTATGACATTCTTGTCAATTGCAGAAGCTACTGCAGATTCTATTTAAGGGTTCTGGTTGGTTCATGGTCATTACATTGGCCTTTATAGTCTCCTATATTTTACAAGAAACATTGTTGGTGGAAATTGTTCTTACCCTGTTCCATTAATGTACCCTTGCAGTTGAGTACTGAAGCAAGATTCTCTTAATATTATGGCATTCCAGCCATGTTGGAATGAGGATGAATTCCTTTGTTTTGCTGTAAAAACATTTAATTAATAAGATTTTAGTGCTGGGCACCGATCCCACCTGTAATCCTCACTACTCAGGAGGCTGAGATCTGAGGATCACGGTTCAAAGCCAGCCCGGGCAGGAAAGTCCATGAGACTCTTATCTCCAATAAAAAAACACTAGAAAAGCGGAAATGGTGCTGTGGCTCAAGCGGTAGAGTGCTCGCCTTGAGCTGAAGAGCGCAGGGATAGCACCCATGCCCAGAGTTCAAGCCCCACGACCGACCAAAAAAATAATTGACAGATTGAGAAATCATAAAGAATAATAATAAAATCTATCTTACCAATGAGTTGCTGATCATTTAACTGGGTTTCAGTGATCTGATTATTATTTTTCTTTGTTTTACTGGAATATGAGTTGGTAATATTTTAATACTAGAATTTTAGATGTTGGAAGAAGTTTACCTTTCAGGTAAAATTATGGATATTTAGAATTTTTTTCTAAACTACTTGTTATTTTTCCTTTGTACCTAAAAGTGACATTTTTAGCTACCCCAACTTTTATGGCAATTATTAATTTCAAGCGACAAAGTACATTATATTCAGATGCATGCCAGTTGGTAAGATACATGATATTTGAGTGTAATGAGTTGATTCTTGTGGTTTACACCGGTTTATAGGCAGTTTATTGTGCAACTGTGATGATTTTTTTTTAAACAGGGACAAGGAAACTAATAATTAAAATTTTATGTTCTTCGAAATTCATTGGTGACTGCCTTTATTTCAGCATGCCTATAATGCTGAAGAGACCCATTATAGGAGTATTTTATTTTAGGCTTAGTAGTATGGGATGCTTATATGACTTAACAAATTATTTTCTGTAATTATTGACCAGAACAGGGAGGCATTGGTGGAAGCTGTAAAGGACATGAGAAAAGATGGATATAAAGTCCACCCATAAGCTATCACTTTTTTTTTTTTTTTTTTGGTCAGTTGTGAGGCTTGAACTCAGCCTGGGCTCTGTCCTTGAGCTCTTCAGCTCAAGGCTAGCACTCTACCAATTGAGCCACAGTGCCACTCCTGGCTTTTTCTGTTGATGTGGTGCTGAGAATTGAATCCAGGGCCTCATACATGCGAGGCAAGCACTCCACCACTGAGCCACCTTCCCAGCCTCCAGAAAATCACTTTTTAAAAACTTAAGTTTCCTGGAAGATCTCTAAAGATCAAAGCAACAGAGACCAATAGTCCAAAAACAGTTTTTTTTAGGATGTAACTTGGGAGGGTTTGCAAGCCATGCCTGTGTTCTTTGCAAGCAAAAATGCTCTGGGTTTGACAGCATCTTTGGCAGACTATCTTAGTGTGTTTTTCTGAGGCATTTCTGGAACCAGGGCATTCAGTTTTTTTTAAATGCAGAATAAGGCCAAAAAAGAGAGGGCATTAAATAGGTCATCAAGATTCAGATCAAAGTTAAGAATGTGACAGTTAAGAATGGGAGAAGAAAACCCAACACAGGTGCAAATGTTCCAGTGTAATAACAGTGGATAACAAGTAGGTCTAGAAAGGTGTGTTTCATCCTTTATTGGCTTCTGCTGAGAAAAACATTTTCTATCAACAAGTATGAGTGCATGACAGCATTTGAGAGCAGAAGATGTTCATTCTGTTGTAGAGCCTTGGCCTATATGCACACGTACCTGGTGTGATCACCATTGGAAAAACAAAATAATATTTACCTCTTTTATGGGCTATGTACTTTTTTCCTCCAGTGCAATTATTTTTTGCCCTTCAATCTTCTCAATACATAAATTAGTTTGCTTTTGGAGGGGGGTGGGAGGCGTCAGTCGTGGGGCTTGAACTCTGGGTCTGGGTGCTGTGCCTGGGCTCTTCAGCTCAAGGCAAGTGTTCTACCACTTGAGCCACAGCGTCACTTCTGGTTTTCTGGTGGTTAACTGGAGATAAGAGTCTCTCAGACTTTCCTGCCTGGGCTGGCTTTGAAACGTGATCCTCATATCTCAGCCTCCTGAGTATCTAGGATGACAGATGTGAGCCACCAGCGCCCAGCCACAAATTAGTTTTAACAACCCAATAATGGATTGCAGTCTAGTTTGAAATATACTGATTTTAAGAGGTTGGTTTAGTTGGACATTATAAGCCTCAAAGGTGGAAGCTCAAAAAAATTTAGTATTAGGAACTGAAATAATGCCAGTGCCTTTTTACTCACCTTCCTTGCAGTCTTCTTTGGTACTGTGCTTTTTGTAAGATCCAAGATTTATTGAACTAGCAAGCATAAGAGTTTGGTACAGAGCATTTAATGAGAAACTTAACGTATGTTCAATAGGGCAACATGGTTTCAAGAGAGTATGACTAACAAAATGAGGTTGATATGAGGAATGCACTGTATCGAATGGAAATAAGATTAGAAAAGAGGAGGGACAAGAGAGTACCTTACATTTTGAACCAAGGCAAAAATGAAATAAAGCTGTTAGTAAAATTTCACATGGAATTCAGGGAAGAAGTGATTCATTTTCAAACCAAGTGCTAGTGGTTTTACCCTATCATCGTAGCTACGCAGGAAGCTGAGGTCTAAGGATGAAGATTCAGGCCAATCCAGGCAGGATAGTTTGTGAGACTCTTATCTCCAATTAACCAGCAAAAGGTAGGTGTGGAGGGATGGCCTAAATAATAGAGCACCAGCTTTGAGCAATAAAGCCAAGCAGAGCATGAGGCCCTGAGTTCAAGCCCTAGTATCAGTGCGCGTGAACATACACACACACACGTGCACACGCACTCACACACACACACATGCATGCACGCAGAGAGACAACCAGGAATACTAAAAAGTAACAGAATAGAGTTTGGCTGTCAAGCTGTCTACTCTGTTTCCTCATCTATACATGATGTCATTGGACTAGGAGATCCTTTGTCTTACTACTGTAAATGCTGAAACAATAATCTACATGCTCTGTCCATATGTTGAATATGAAGATGTTATCCTCCATATGATTGTTAGAACCAATCAGACCAAGACGTTTTAATTATGAACAGTTTGTTAGTAACTTACAGTCCTATTAACAGTTTATTAACTATTCATTAATTGCCCTTCATTTGTTCATTTTAGTTACATGAACATGCAGCCTACTTAGTGGACAGCTTGTGGGAGAGTTCTCAAGAACTGTTGAAAGACTGGGAATGTATGACAGAGTTGCTACTAGAAGAACCTGTCCAGGGAGAGGAAGGTACAGTACTTTAACAAGTTGATGTGCATGTAGTTACATTTCCATTAACAACCCTGCCAACTTCTACTGATCACTTCTTGAAAAAGAGTGTACACAGGCCATGCCTTGTGTTTTTTTGTCAAGAGAAGAACTTATATTGTATAGCAAAAAACGGGTGGGCTTTTTTTGGTTTTGGTTTTGGTTTTTTGTTGGTCGTGGGGCTTGAACTCTGGGCTTGGGCGCTATCCCTGCGCTCTTCAGCTCAAGGCGAGCGCTCTACCACTTGAGCCACAGCGCTACTTCGTTTTCTAGTGGTTTATTGGAGATAAGAATCTCACAGACTTTCCTGCCCGGGCCGGCTTTGAACCGTGATCCTCAGATCTCAGCCTCCTGAGTAGCGAGGATTACAGGCGTGAGCCAACGGTGGCTGGCTAAGAAGGGTGTTTTAAACATCCTCATAATATGCTTCCCTGCAGTTCAAATGTTTTAAAGATCTAAGTGTTCTGTAATTCACAAACTTGCTTTCTTGATCCTGATTTAAAAAATTAGTTTGTCCTGAATCTTATTGCTACTTTTATAGATAAATAATATAGGGAGCAATAGTAATAATATTGAAGAAGAAGTTATAACTGTACCTTTCTACACGCCTGTAAAAAGAGTGTTCAGAAATCTACAGTTTATTAACAGCTTATTATACCATAGCAAATGGACAAAAATCTTAGAGGTCCATGACAAAACTTCATCCCAGTTACTCAGTCTCGTACTCAGAAGACCAAAGTGTAAGGATCACTTAAGCCCATTAATTCAAGTCTAGCCGTAGCAACAGACTGAGACTTTTATCTCGAGAGAAAAGCAAAACTTGAGAAAAAGAATATATATTCTACTTCATTGATTAGTAGATAGGAACAAAATAATAACAAAAAATCACTTTACAACCACTGAACTGGTATAAACAGACTTTATGACAGCAAGTGCTGGCAGGGATAAAAGGAAGGAACTGTTACCATTCTAGCAGTTATGGGTGTAATTACAACAAATCCATGAGTACCCATGTATTAATGATGCTTTTTGCATCATGTTTCATGATGCCAAAACCTGGCAATATTGGATCAAAAATAGGTACAGTTCCTAAGTTACGGTGTATAAGTTAGGTAATAATGTATACTTTACAACTATAATTAATGTATTCCTATGTATATATTGATTTGAAAGACATTACAGTATCTTAGTAGTTTAAAATATATAGCATGATCCTTTTGTTTATGTTATTTTGTTCTGTTTTAGCATTTGTTTCTTGAAAAATTTTTACTCATTCTCATGCCTTTGGTTTCACCTTAGCAATGTCTGACCGCCAGGAGAGTGCTCTTATAGAGTTAATGGTGTGTACAATCCGCCAGGCTGCTGAGGCACATCCGCCTGTGGGAAGAGGCACCGGCAAGAGAGTAAGTCCGCACGCACGAGAAGTCTGTGACACATCTTTTAGTGGGATGGTCTCAAATATGTGGCTTTGTGAAAGTGTGGTACTTTTGTAAAGAATTCATGCTCTCATGACTTTATTATGTATATAGTCTACTAGACCCATCTTCCAAAGATAAATTCTTTTTACTTCATGTTCCCATAGTTTTTGTACCCACTTCTATCATAGTACTTGTGCAAGACTTTAAGGCTTTTCATAATCATATCTTTTATAAGTGAATGAGAGGTCTGGGAAGTGTACTTTGTTTCACTTGTAAGTTCTTTTTATTTATTTTTTCTTTTTATTTAATAGCTGTGTCATTTGGGGATAGGTGGAATATTTGTGCGTGGATGCCTTATAATGTAGATAAAGGTTAGATGAGATGATCACAGGTGGTGGAGAGTATTTCTGGTAGATAAAACTTTCCTGCAAAAATAACAAGTATAGACCCAGATCTTGAGTCATATTCCAGAAATCCCAGCTTTTCAAGGCCAGATAGGTCATAAACTTAGAGATCCCATCTCCAATAACAAGCATGGTTGCACACACAAGAAGCATGGGTAGGAAGATCACAATTCAAGACAATTCCTGGTAAGAATGAGGAAAGCCCATCTAAAAACATAATTTATCTAATAAAAGACTGAAGCCTGTGACTGAGAAGGTGGCTCAGTGGTAGAGTGCTTGCCTTGCATGTATGAGGCCCTGGGTTCGATTCCTCAGCACCACTTAAGCAGAAAAAGCTGGAAGTGACACTGTGGCTCAAATAGTATAGCACTAGCTGTGAGCTGAATTGCTGAGGGATAGCGCCCAGGCTCAGAGTTCAGGCCCCATGACCGACCAAAAGAAAAAGACTGAAGCCATAGTTCAAGTGGTAGAGCTACCTGTATTATAAATATGACCGCCAGAACAGAAAAGTCAAATAAAAATTCTAGAGTTGAAAGTACAATACAGAAATTTGAAAATTCAATAGCAGATTTGGGATGTGTGTTAGTTAGCTTTCTGTTACTGTAACAAAATGCCTGAAGGTAGAAACTTTTTGTTTTGGTCCGCCGTGGGACTTGAACTCTGGGCCTGGGTGCTGTCCCTCAGCTCTTCAGCTCAAGGCGAGCACTTGAGCCACAGCGCCACTTCCAGTTTTCTGGTGGCTCTTGGAGATAAGAGTCTCATGGACTTTTCTTGCCCAGGCTGGCTCTGAACCGTGATCTTCAGATCTCAGTCTCCTGAGTAGCTAGGATGACAGGCGTGAGCCACCAGTCCCCCGGCAAGGTAGAAACTTTTAAGGAGGAAAGGTTTATTTTGTAAGTTTAAAGGTTTTCTGTCCACGATTATTTTGGGGCCTGTGGCAAGGCCAGAGAATCACGGCAGAGAATGTGACTGATAGCCAAGAACAAGGGAAGAAGAGGCCAAGAGCCTGATAGGCATGCTCAGTGGTAGGCACTACTTGGTGAGCGGATGCATGGTTTGATTGCAGTCCCCATTATGTCAAAAAGTATAACAACATCCTGTTGGCTCCTCATTCATTATGGGAAAAGACTGCATAAGGCGTATCAGAAGGGATGAATTTAAGAGGTCATCTTGAATGTTACGGGTTCCACATTACTTTAGCACAAGAATCAGCTATGGTTCATTCAGATAGGGTCTCCAGGTTTTGCCCAGGACTGGGCTTTGGAGTTCAGTCCTCCCATCTACTGGGATTACAGGCATACACCACTAGTTCCCAGCAAGGGCTTCCATTTCTGTGTTCATAATTGCTGCTTTTGGGAAATGTTTATATTTTTATTTAAGTTAAATAAGTTGTGGATTTACCTAACCAAGCCACATAATAAAATAATAATGCATATTAAATACATGTATAAAATTACATGTATTTATTTCAGGAATTTGGTAGGACCTGACATTTTTTTAAACCATTTTGATTTCTAGGTGCTAACTGCCAAAGAAAGAAAAACGCAAATAGATGACAGAAACAAACTAACTGAACATTTTATCATCACACTTCCTATGTTACTATCAAAGGTATAGTACCATTTTCAGTGTTTTGAGACATGTCACTGAATTTACTTTCAATGCCTGACGTGCATCGTTTATTTTTGTTTTGCTGTTTCTCTTTCTAGTACTCTGCAGATGCAGAAAAGGTAGCAAACTTGCTACAAATTCCTCAGTATTTTGACCTAGAAATCTACAGCACAGGCAGAATGGAAAAGGTAAGGCACTGTGCAACTGACTTCCACCTGGAATTTTTATTAGCTGTATTATTTCATTTTCATGCACCCAGATAAGCTTACTTGAGATGCTTTTTTTCTTTCAGTAGTAACCCCTATCACAGTTTTTCTTTTTCTTTCTTCCTCAGCATCTGGACGCTTTGTTGAAACAGATTAAGTTTGTGGTAGAGAAGCACGTGGAATCAGATGTCCTCGAAGCCTGCAGTAAGACCTACAGCATCTTGTGCAGTGAGGAGTACACCATCCAGAACAGAGTGGATATCGCTCGGAGCCAATTGATTGATGAGTTTGTAGATCGATTCAATCATTCTGTGGAAGACTTGCTGCAAGAGGTTTGTTCCAAGGTTAAAATACACATACAGTAATTTGGGATAGTAATTCAGTGTAGCTGTAGCTATGTGTATATATTATTTCCATTTTGAAGTAAAATTTTTTACTCCTTTCAAAACTTAGCCAAGTTACTGCAATGCTGTATCCTACTTAGCCTTAGATATACTTCATTTTTATGTTAGAGGTTTGTTTTTTTTTTCTTCCCTTCTTTTAAGAAAACTTTTCAAGCTGGGTGCCAGTGGCTCACCCCTGTCATCCTAGCTACTCAGGAGTCTGAGATCCAAAGATCGAGGTTCACAGCCAGCCCAGGCAGGAAAGTCTACGAGATTCTTACCTCCAATAAACTACTCAGAAAACCTGAAGTGGCACAGTGGCTCAAGCTGTAGAGCGCTCGCCTTGAGCTGAAGAGCTGAGGGACAGCATTCAGGCCCAGAGTTCAAGCTCCATGACCAACAAAAAAAGAAATCTTTCAATCTGAACCACATAGGAGGTAGAAGTGGGAGGATTGTGATTCAAGGCCAGTTTTAGCACACACACACACACACACACAAAGGAGTAAAGCCCTATCTCAAAAATCAAACTGGGAAAGTGAAGCTGTGGCTTAAGTAGTAGAGCACCAACCTTGAGTGAAAAAGCTTCCAGGACCTGAGGTCAAGCCTGTGTGCACACACATGATGAGACTGCCTATAATCCCAGATCTTGGGAGAGGCCTGCACCTAGCCAAAACACACAACGCTATCTGAAAATTAAACTAAAACAAAAAGTACTAGAAGCATAGTAGCATAAGTGATTGAGTGACATGATAGTCGGAGTAAGGCCCTGAGTTCAAACTCAACCACCACCCAAAATAAAGTCTCCAAGGTTTGTTTTTTCCTGATTTTCTTTCCTATTCTGGGACGTGATGTGTATTTTCGTATTAACTAAATTATTGTAATGTATTGATGAAAAGAACATGCATATTAAGGATGCTTATAGAGAATGCTGGCTAACCAATGTTATGCTCAAGATGTCAGCAGGCATCTCCACTTTCTTTTTAAATAATTTCTGCTACTCCTGCTTTACATCCCCTTTCCAAACTATGATGAGATTATCTAATAATCTGTTAGTTCATGATTGCTCGCTTTCCAAAGGATTTTTGTACTATTTGTACTCTTCTGTTTTTTTAAACATACAGTTTTCTACTGTGGTTATTTAAGCCGCAGAAGTAACTTATAATCAATAAGACTTTTAAAACTCTTCCATCCTGGGGGTATAGCTCACTGGTAAAGTATTTGCCAGTTCAGTTCCTAGATCTTACTCCCCAAAGACCCTTTTTTTACTCAGCAATTTCAGTTTCAAGGAATTTGTCATATAACATTAATTGGAAAAATGTACAGTCATGTACCATGTTATTTAAATGTAAGTCCTGGGTATCGCCACCAGGTGATGGGATTTCTGGGAATTTTTTTGTCCTTATAGATGTTTATCTATGGTGAATGTATGAACAGGGCTATGGCTGAAGTGGCAGAGCGCTTGCCTAGCAAATAACCACATTTGGTTCGAGCCCCAGTTACCACCAAAGAAAAAGGCAGTGAATCTTTATTATTTACACAATGACTTTTACTTTGGACATTTAAGTTTCATAAACTTGAATGTGAATGTAAATAGTGATAACGAGATGATCTTCTTTTTAATTTGTAGGGTGAAGAAGCTGATGATGACGATATTTACAATGTTCTTTCCACTCTAAAGCGGTTAACTTCTTTCCACAAGTATGTCATTTACAGTACATACCAACATTCACGATGGATTATAGTGCTTGTTATTCCTATCTCCCAATGAGCAATTTTAGATAAATAGTGAGAGGTTGTAGTGTGTTTTTATTTATTCAGATTTTCTAATATGAAAACTTACCATTTAATGTATATATTAATGAATATACTTAACATGTAAAAGGTTTAAATGAATTAATGCGTAACAAATTAATGAGTTTGTTTTAAAATAGATTTCTTAGCTATAGATTTCAATTGATAGCTTTTAGAAATGTTGCTAAATTTTGAACAAGGCAATTTCTCAGTTATATAAAAGAAATTTAAGAGGTCTATTAATACGCTATGACAATAACAATTTTTTATATTGAGAATTACTAAGACTAGATTTTAAGTGTTCTTACTACAAAAAATGTGAGGTTAATAGCTGTCATTAGCCATCTTGTAATATTTAAATGTTTCAAAATATGCATAATAGTATTAAAAGCACATCTTCATTAGTTAAATACTGAAAAGGAACCATGATTTTGGAGAAAGGCATGAAAGTAGCTTCTTTGGCTTTTTTTGTTTTCCTCTGAGTTCTTGAAGGCTTGGTTGTTACTGTGTGTGTGTGTGTGTGTGTGTGTGTGTGTGTGTCTAGATTTAAGTTAGGAAACAAGGCTCAGATAAATGTATGTTTTTGAGTTTTATTTTATGTGTCACTTGTAAGAAGGCAAGTGTATTTTATGAAGAAAAACAAATAGAACTTTATTGTCAAAAGAAAGTTTGAAGCCGGGCACTGGTGGCTCATGCTTGTAATCCTAGCTACTCAGGAGACTGAAATCTGAGGATCGTGGTTCAAAGCCAGCCCAAGCAGGAAAGTCCCTGAGATTTGTTCTCCAGTGAACCACCAGAACAAAAAAAAAAACCTGAAGTGGCACTGTGGTTCAAAGTGGTGGAGCACTAGCACTAACATTGAGCAAAAAGGCTTAGGGACAGTGCCCAGGCCAGAGTTCAAGCCCTATGACCGACAAAAACAAAACAAAAAAACAAAGTAAGTTTGATTTGCAACTCTTAAACCACTTTCTGAAACCTAAGCTTAGAGCTAGATGTTGTAGTACTTGTCTATAATCCATACTACTAGCAAGATTGAGTCAAAAGAAGGACTTGAGCCCAAGAAATAGAAGCCAGTCTGAGCATTGTAGTAAAATATTGTCTCAAACACTAAATGGAAGGAAGGAGGACACAAAAAAAAGAATGAAGGAAATCTAAGCCATTTCATATTTAATTTTTCTGGAATGCTATGGAAAAGTAAAGCCCCCTGTATTTTGTTAGGGAGAGTGGTGGGATTAAATTGATTGAAATACAGTGTAAACATGAGATATAACAGTGAAATCACCCATCTGAATGTAAGCTAATGTTTAAAATACTTAGTTGTTTGATAAAAATTGATCACCACTGTCAAATGAACTACTTTAGTAGTATAATTCAGGAGAACTTAAAAATGATCTCACTGTTAACCTAGTGCAGATAGATGTCTTCAGGCTATATAAATACCTATTGTATAGTTTTTGATGTTTCCCATATTCCCTTTCCCTACTTTTGTCTGATTTTTTGTTGGATTGGTTTGGTTTGGTTTTTTGGTCACTTGTGGGCCTTGAACTCAGGGCCTGGCCACTGTCCCTGAGCTTTTTCCCTCAAGGTTAATACTCTACCACTTTGAACCATAGCATGACTTCCAGCTTTTTCGGCAACTTACTGGAGATGAATCTCACAGACTTTCCCACCCAGGCTGGCTTTGAACAACGATCCTCAGATCTCAGCCTCCTGAGTAGCTAGGATGACAGGTGTGAGCCACCAGTGTCCAGCCTTGTTTTTGTCTTTAGTTATATTTCATGACTGCAAATCTCTTTCACACTGTGCATATGGTTATATATCTTCACATTATGAGTAGACCTGTTTAAAATGTAAATTATTCTAAAAAGGCCAGGCACTCTATATGGAACATGAGCCTAGGAAAACTGGGATAGAAGCCTTCAGGTAAAGTTGTAAGATTTGTTGCTGATTTCTCTCATAAATTCCTATTGGCAGCACTTATTTGTCTTGCTTGTTCCCTCTTTGACACTTGGAAATTTCTTCTGGATCTTTCTGAGTTCTACACAAAATGGTTATTTTGCTCTTCTAGTCACTGAAACTATGCACAAGTTTAAACTTTCTTCCACTGTAAAATTAATGTGTCTTTTGTTTGTTTTAGTGCTCACGATCTCACAAAATGGGATCTGTTTGGTAATTGCTACAGATTATTAAAGACTGGAATTGAACATGGAGCTATGCCAGAACAGGTATGAACTTACTGATACTCTTTTACTGTTTTTGAAAGCTACGCTTCTCTAAAATCATAGAAATAGTGGTGTTTTTTTTTCTGGTTCTGGATCTTGATCTTGAGCCATACTTCCAGGCCAGCTTTTTGCTGATTATTTAGAGATGAAGTCTCAAATACTTTTCTGTCTGGACTGACTTGAAATTACAGCCCTTTGATCTCAGCCTCCTGAGTAGTTAGGATTACAGATGTGAGCCAGAGGGGCTCAGAGGTGAGAAATCTTTAATGCAACCACTCCTTTGAGTGATTATTAGAACAGTTAGACAAAGATTATGTTAATGTATTTAAAGTTTAATGTTAGCATAAGCAAATATTTCTTCTAGGAGCAATATCATTGATTACTCTCAGCAACTTTACAACAAGTTCTGATTGATTTATTATGTAATGGAACATCCCCCTTCCCCCCCTTAGCCCCCCCCCCCTCCACACACACACCTTCTTGATAGTAGCACTCTTAGGAGGTTTAAACTCAGGACTTCCTGCTTGCTAGGCTGGCATGGTTCTGCGGAGCCATGCCTCCACCCTGCTTCTCACTGGTTGCTGTTAGGATAGGGTCTCTCCTCTTGCTTCTGTCCACCTATTTCTAGCCTCTCGTCATCTCGGGGATCAGAGGTGGACACACCCTGAGTCGCTCTGACTTGTCTACCTAGCTGGCTTGGCCCTGCCATCATCTTAGTCTCATTACGAACTGGAGCATTCTAAATGGAGATCATATCAGGTCATAGGTATGACCTGGGTTTTGTTATAAAATCAAAATTAAATGGCTTTTGGGGTGCATGAGTAGATTTTAGACCTTTCTGTATTCACCTACAAGTTAGAGTGAGTGGAAGAGACAGGAATTGCTCACATTCTATATCAAAAAAGAAATGGTCATTTTGTGTAACACCAGGTACTTAGGAGACCAGAATGCCAGCGTCATCAAGACGTCAGCTGTGCTTTGGTGATGGATGGAGACTCTCATTTACTAATATGGACTCTTAAATAAGGCTCTATTACTCTAAAGCAAGAAAAATTGCAACGGGCTTACCAGAATTCTAGTTCAGATTAAAGTGAGTCCCTGAAACGAGGCACAGTTAGTTGTAAAGCCTGGCTTCCCAGTTGTATGAGGCAAAGGCAGGTGCATCCTTAACACCAGTACTTTCACGGCGACCTCAGCAATATTTCCTTTTTGTCCTCGAAAAAGGACAATCATAGAAACAGTATTATTGCTAAAATTCATTCTTGTTTTGGTTTGGTATTTTGAAACAGGGCTTTGCCACGCAGTTCAGGTTGGCCTCAAAGCTCTCCTCCCTCCTAATCTCAGCCTCCCTAATGCTAGACAACAGGTGGATATCACCAAGTTTAGCTATTCTTGCTTACCTCAACACTGGGGGAAAAAGCAATCTGCCGAGCGTTATTTACTTAGCCACTACTGGATGTCACTGGCACTCTTACTACACCCCACGTCCCTGTTAGGTTAGACGTTTTCATTGTGACTTACGGAAAAGAGGCTGTTTGACCCTGCTGTTTCACTAGTAGCACTCCAACTTCTCAGCCTTTCTTCATCTCACTTTCAGTAAATTAAACCTTCTTCTTCTCAATTTACACTTCAGATTTGAAAGGGCCTGAAAGGGAAGATTGAATTTTTGTTTACTTCAGGAGAGAATAAGAAAAGTACCATTTAGTCCAGGGATTATAATCATGTCTACATTTATTTAATTCAGGAAGTGGTGCTGTGGCTCAAGTGGTAGAGCGCTCGCCTTGAGCTGAAGAGCGCAGGGACAGCGCCCAGGCCCAGAATTCAAGCCCCACGACCGACAAAACAAAACAACATTTATTTAATTCATTTCACCATGGCTATTACCTTAGCTCTGACTTTTCTCATGGTGTTATCTTCAACTATTATTTTGAGTTTTGTTACTTGTTTTCACTGTGAAGGTGTTATTTTCCCCCTTTATGTTATATTTGTCCAATAAGAATATATGTCCATGTGACATTTAATTCTTTAAACGGCTCAGAAGACATATTCTTTAACCATGTGTGTGAACTTTCGATGTATGACAACTAGATTGTGTTCCCATTCATTTTAAGATACCCAGAATTGGAAATACAAATCCACCCCCCCCCCATCTCCTCAGGTCATTGGTAGCTTACATTGGTAGCTACTTGGGGTCGGGTATTGGGAGGATCACAGTTTGAGGCTAGCTTAGGCCAAAAAAGTTCAAAAGACCACATCTCAACAAGAAAAAAAAGCTGGTGTGGCGGTACATGCATGTCATCCCAACCATCGCAGGAAGTTTAAAATAAGATTTTGGTCCAGGCTGACCTGGGAACAATGCAAACCCTATCAGAAATAACCCAAGGAAAAAAGGCTGCGGGCCTGGTTCAAGTGGTAGCGCGTCTGGAGCACTGAGCTCACATCTCAGTATTTACGCACCCCCCCCCCAAAAAAAAGACAAGTAAAACTACAATGAATTCCTTATATGACCAGACAATTCAGATGCTTTCTGTATCATCCCTTGATTGTGTTAAACATCTTCAAAGTACCTTAAAACTAATATCTAGCTAGTTTAGGGACTGAATCAGCCCTGTGTGGCGGTTTCACATGGTAACCAGTGCAATTAGAAGGTTCTTAGTCCCACACTTTGGGATTATCAAGATTTGTATGCATGAATGTAATTTTTCTCATTATTGTTTTCATAGTTTTAAAATACGGTGAAGATCAAAGTTTAGGAGTATACCTTTTTGAGTCAACATCTCAAAAAGTGCAATGACAGAAAATGTTTTGCCAGGTGCTCGTGGGTCACACCTGTAGTTCTAGCTACTCAGGAGGCTGAGATCTGAGGATCGTGGTTCAGAGATAGCCTGGGCAGAAAAGTCTGTGAGACTCTTGTCTCTAATTAATCACCAGAATACTTGAAGTGGGCATTGTGGCTCAAAGTGGTAGAGTACTAGCCTTGAGCATAAAAGCTAAGGAACAGAGCCCAGGCCCTGAGTTCAAGCCTCACTACCAACAACAACAACAACAAAAAAGGTTCTAGGGCTGTCTGGGAAGGTGGCTCAGTGGTAGAGCGCTAGCCTTGAGCCGAAGAGCTGAGGGACAGCGCCCAGGCCCAGAGTTCAAGCCCCACGACGAACCAAAAAAAAAAAAAGTTCTAATAATAGAAAGCCAGTTCCTTTATAAGCTTTACCAATTGTCAATATTTTTTCACATTTGACTTGTATGTTCTACTCTTATATATTACATTTGTTAATGTGCAAAAAGTATTTAAAATGCTCATGTTAGCATTTGTGCTACCCCAGAATAGCACACAGCATTTAGTAGGTCTTTTATATCTCCTTTAATAGGGAATGCTTTCTTAGCCTTTGTGTTTGATGACATATTGTTAAAGAGGACAGATTAATGCTTAACTTCTTCTGATGTTTGTAATATTTAGATTCTGGTTATGGATTCTTGGCAGGAAACATAAATGATATCACATCCAGATGTACATGATAGGGTGAATATGATCAGAATACATTGTATACATGTATAATTAATCTAAAGAATCTCAGGGTTTTAATTCAATAGAAATCTGGTGCCAGCTGGGCACCGGTGGCTCACACCTGTCATCCTAGCTACTTAGGAGGCTGAGATCTGAGGATCATGGTTCAAAGCCAGCCAGGGCAGCAAAGTCTGTGAGACTCTTATCTCCAATGAACAACTTAGAAAACTGGAAGTGGCGCTGTGGCTCAGGTGGTAGAGCGCTCGCCTTGAGCTGAAAAGCTGAGGGACAGCGCCCAGGCCTAGAGTTCAAGTCCCACAAGAAAGAGAGAGAGAGAGAGAGATCTGGTGCCATTGTCCTCCCCAGTCCTTCAAGGAGTCAAGCATCCTAGCACTTCAGTGTCCTGCTGGCAAAAGAGGAGAGGACAGAGAAGGTGCTCAGCTTCTTCATTTCCTCAGAAATGTGCTCTACAGGCGGGATTTGCTCTCAGGCAAGACACTCCCTCAATGAAACGAGGGGACAAACAGTAGCTGTTTGTTTGTAGATCCTCCTGTTATCCTAGCCACCTAGGAGGCTGAGATCTGAGGACCGATTCTTATTTCCAGTTAACCTCAAAAAGCCAGAAGTGGAGCTTTGGGTCAAGTGGTAGAGCTCTAGCCTTGAGCAAAAAAGTTCAGGGACAGTACCCAGGCCCAGAGTTCAAACCCCAGGACTATCCCCTTCTCCCCCCAAAAAGGCCAAGATGTGAAACATCAAAATGGGACTTTTGTATTTCAAATAGCAAGGTGAGGGTTATGGTGATCCTTTTATACCAAAAAGAACACAAAATGTATTGAAGTTAAAAAGTGCACATTTTCAGTTATCTGAGGTGGCGTGTCTTCAGTGGAAGGTGGGTGGGATAGTGTGGGAAAAATGAATCAAGCGTCATGGTTCAGTTCAAGCGTGAGCTAAGGTCTACTCTTTTGGGTGGTTCAATATTAATGTGTACAACAGTAATTTTTGTGACAGTAATGGTGCCTATTCTTGTGGTTTCAGGTTATCAGTGCTAGACCTACTACGATATGGTATAGTATAGGTAAATTTGAGTAATTTCAGAGCACTGTAGTCTGCGGCATCATGAGCTTTCGAGGCTTTTCCTCAATGATAGTCTCCTCTGAACATACACCCGCAGAGCCCAAGGCTCTACTGCTGCATACAAGGCCAAGGTCTAGGTCCCTGCATGGTCATTGACAGCCGATAATGTTTCACTTTTCTTGGTTCTGCGTTTTGATACCATCTCATTAGTGTTTCATCAAAAGCAGTACCACCCATTCCTCTTCACTCTTCTAAGGGACTTATCTTCAGTGCCCAGGCAGGCACACTGGAGATACCTTTGTTTAAATGACTTGAAATGCAGTCATTTTAAATCTAACAAGGATTTTATTTGTTGATTTATCTTTTAATTTTATATATTTCCACTTCTTTGGTTTTTGTCATGAGGGGGATAATAGAAATAAGTTTAACATCTGAAATAATGGAATATAACATCAGGTATGTTTATTGTGCTAAAGGTATACTGTATATTCGAATACTCTTTTATTTTGTGATTCTTGACATTTATCTTTTCATTAGTCTCCCTAGAAAATAACAACCATGGGCTGGGAATGTGGCTCAGTGGTAGAGTGCTTGCCTAGCATGCATGAAGCCAATTCCATGCATGAAATTAAATTCCTCAGCACCATATAAACAGAAAATGTTGGAAGTGGCGCTGTGGCTCAAGTGGTAGAGTGCTAGCCTTGTGCAAAAGAAGCTCAGGGACAGTGCCCAGGTCCTGAGTTCAAGTCCCAGGACTAGCAAAAAAGAAAGAAAGAAAGAAAATAACAACCAAAGTCTTGAACTAGATGTTTCACAAAACAGAAGGACTTTAGATACAAGTTTAAAAAATTAGAAAGACAAATTAAAAACAAAAGAAGCTGTGCACTAGTAGCTCATGCCTATGGTCCTAGCTACTCAGAAGGCTGATGTCTGAGGATCATGATTCAGAGCCAGCCTGGACAGGCAAATTCATGAGACTCTTTAACCAGCAAAAAGCCAGAAGTGGAGGTATAATAGTACCAGATGGAATGAGAAAGCTTATGAAGAGCACAAGTCTGAGAATTCAAGTTTCAGTATGGACACACACACACACACACACGAGAAAAAAGAAAATTGTGTTAGGGTTCTGCTCTATAGAATCACCACATGTGACCTGTGATAATAGGAATTTATTAATTAAAATGTTGAGCCACAGTAACTATCTGTAACTCCTAGATACAATCACTTTCGATACAGTTTGGTAATCTGTAGTAAAAGTTAACACTACTGTGATCCTGGAGCAGTTATTTGTCAGTGTAGTCAGGGGACTCAAGAGTTTTAGTGGAGGTACAGAGGTCAAAACTATTTTTATAAGAAGTTACTGTCACATTCTGTCACAGCTGTACAGTACTTGTGTCCTAACAGAATATCATACTTATCCACAAAGACTACTAAATGTAATTTTTTCCCCAGTGATTTCTGTGAGATTGAAATTCTTTTCATATTCTTCATTCAAAACTATGTTGTAGCAAACCAGGCATCACTGGTTCAGGCCTGTCATCCTAGCTACTCAGGAGACTGAGATATGATGATCGCAGTTCAAAGGCAGACAGTCCAGGCAGGGAAAGTCCATGAGATTCATCTCCAATTAAAGCACCACCCTCCCCCACACCTAGCCCCCCAAAAAGAAAGGTGGAAATGGTGCAGTGGCTCAAGTTGTAGAGTGCTAGTCTTGAGCAAAAAAAAAAGCTCAGGGATAGCATGCAGGCCCTGGGATCAAGACCCAGGTCCAGCACCACAAAAACTACATATAGCAGGATGAAGGCACAGATAGGAAAATGCAGTTGGTTTTTATTAATATAGATTAAAGAAATTTGCAAAAATATAAAACTATTACTTCACTTTTTGTTCTAATATTTCATTTTTCATAAAAGTGGGTTAATATGTTGTCATCAATGTATTCTTTCATATCTTATAAACATTTTGTAAATGCTTCTTTAGGGTTTTTTTGGGGGGGGAGAGGGGGTCCGGTCGTGGCCTGAACTCTGGGCCTGGGCGCTGTCCCTCAGCTCTTCAGCTCAAGGCTAGCACTCTACCACTTGAGCCACAGCGCCACTTCCGGCTTTTTTCTTTTTGCTTATGTGGTGCTGAGGAATCAAACCCAGGGCCTCAGGCATGCAAGGCAAGCGCTCTACCATTGAGCCACCTTCCCAGTCCCTTGTCGTTGTTTTTTTTTAACTTTGGTCAGTCGTGGGGCCTGAACTTTGGGCCTGGGTCTGAGCTCTTCAGCTAAAGGCAAACACTCTACCACTTGACTTCTTTACTTTTTCAGCTGTGCTGGGGTTATCATTTGCTAGCAAGTACTCTACCACTTAAGTCACACCCCAGCCCTTTTAATTCACTTGTTTTTCAGATAGTTTCTCTCATTTTTGTCTAGGGCTAGTCTCAGATTCCAGTCCTCCTATATATGCCTTCCCATATACCACCATAGCTAGCCTTGTTTTTTTTCTGTAATATGGTACTAATATGGTATGTTTAAGCCACATAAACAGAACTCTTTGGGGATGGCAAAGATGGAACTTACTGCTAAAGCACTCACCTAGCATACAGAAGGACCTCTGTTCATCTCTCAGACAAGAAAAGTTAAGTCTTTGAGGTCCTTAATATTGTTTTGGTCTTGGGTTTGTTCATTTGTTTTCAGCTAGGAATCACACTCCGAGCATATTAAGTAAGTGCTCTACTACTGAACTGCAGCCCCAGTCCGTACAGTGTCAAGAGGTCCTGAGAACTAAAGAGTGAGACCCTCTGCCCTAGATCAGTGCGCATGTGGCATACCAGCAGATGATTCCAAGATTGCATAGCAGCTACCCAGAGTCCCTGAAACTCAAAGTAGTGTGCATTAGTAGGAGCATTTTCTGCATATTTGACAGGATGATTTTAAAAACCACAGGTACAAGCACCATGTATAACCCCTTAGAATTAAATGGGAAAAAAACAGACTTAGCTACCTATTGCATGATTTTATTTATGTGATATTCACCACTAGTCACAGTAAACTTCAGTGGTCCAGAGTTAGGTAGTTAAGTAGGTGGACTACTGGATAGGCATAGTAGCTCACACCTTGTAATTCTAACTTGCCAGACAAAAGTTAGTGAGGCCTCCTCTCAAGAAAAAAGCGTAGTAGTCACAGCTTTTAATCCCAGCTCCTCAGGTGCACATCAATAAGAGAATCACAGTCTAAGACTAGCCCTAGACAAAAAATAGAGGATCTGATCTGAAAACCAGCTGTAGCAAAAGAAGAAAAAAGAGCACTTGCTCAGCAGGTGTAAAGCCTTCAGTTCAGACTCCTGCACTACCAAAAATACATCGATTAATGCATAAGTCAAAATAGCTGTGAGCCCTAGGAAAAGAAAGAGATACCAGGATAAGATGCTGTTAATATTCTCTTTCTTGACCTCGATGGTGGTTGTAGTGGTATTTCTGCTTTATGATAATTCATTAAGCTTTATAAATACAATTTAAAATACGTAGTGTAAATTGCACATTTTATACTTTCCAATACATATTTATATATTAAAATACTTTACAACAAAATGACTAGAATATTTGTTTTAATGCAAATAATCTCACTGCTTTTCTTTAAAACAAACAAAACAACTTTATACAATGCTGGGAGTAATCCTAGCTACTTGTGGAGGTTGAGATCATGAGGATCATAGCCTAGGCAAAAAGTTTCTGGAGATTACTCCTTCCCCAATCTTAACCCATACAAAGCTGTGCGTGTTAGTGCATAGCTATCACCCCAGCTATGAAGGAAGCATAAATAGGAGGAATTAGTCCAGACTGACTGAGACAAATAGCAGTACTACTAAATAAATCAATAACGAAGTTTAAAAAGCCCAAGGGTGATAGAGTGCCTGCCTAGCAAGTAAAAGGCCCTAAGTTCAGACCCCAGTCATAATACCCAATAGATAAATAGTACATTTTTGTTTGAAGGCATAGTATTATTTATTTGAGTCCATATTATCAAGATATGGTCTGTTTTTGTTCTCTGAATTCTATTGGTTGGTTTATTTTTTTTAGTCAAATATTTTAGCCATTCTCATTAATATATATAAACTGGATTTGGAACCTCATTATAAAAGAAAAGCCAGTAAAATAATTATTCTAGTACTGTGCAAACATAAATTGTCTCATTTGTTTCAATTTTTTATTGCGTTTTTTTTCCATTTGATACAGATAGTCGTTCAGGCACTGCAATGTTCCCATTACTCGATTCTTTGGCAGTTGGTGAAAATTACTGATGGTTCTCCTTCCAAAGTAAGTAAGAGCTCCCGGAGGCAGAAGAGTTATTATTAAAATAACCTTCTCTTAACCATGTATTATCAGTTATATAAACTATTCTAATCTTTATAAAATATATGGTAGTTTATTGTTACTAGTTCTTGCTTTGCCTTATGAGTATGTTTATTTCTCTTGGAAGATAGGCAGTCTTCACACACACACATGCACACACATAATTAAAATACAGGAAATACAGATCTGTAGGTGAGATGCTGTAAGAAAGAGAAACAGTGCAGCCTAATTTCCATTGAGAACCTTTACTAATTTAGAAAGCATCCCAGACCCTTTCAAAAGATGGAACAACTAATGGTGATTACATGACAAAATTGAAGTCCTGAAGAATCTTAGCCCAGCTGTACAGTAAATAGAAATAAACATACCCCTGGCTCCACTCATGAGATGGAGGTTAAAGGAAAGCCTGCCTTAAAATTCGTCATTGAACTGGGTACCCATGGCTCACACCTGTAATCACACCTAACTACTCAAGAGATCTGAGGATTGCAGTTTGAAGCCAGCCCAGGCAGGAGAGGTCTGTGAGGTTCTCCTTTCCAGTTCAACACAAAAATCTAGAAGTGGAGCTGTAGCTCAAGTGCTAGAGACCTAGCTTGCTCTGGGGTTAGGCCGAAGGACTGGTGCATGCACACATGAAAAATGTCATTGATTAAGGATGTGTGTGTGTGAATGTATGTCTTTGGATTTCAATCCAAATTCCATTTCAGGCCAGGCACTGGTGGTTCACACCTGACATCCTACTACTCAGTAGGATGAGATCTGAGGATCATGCTTCAAAGCCAGCTAGGGGAAGAAAATTCATGAGATTCTTTATCTCCAATGAACTACCAGAAAACCGGAAATGGCGCTGTGGCTCAAGTGGTAGAGCGCTCGTCTTGAGCTGAAGAGCTGAGGGACAGCGCCCAGGCCCTGAGTTCAAGCCCCATGACCAACAAAAAAAAAAAATTCAAGCTAAAAATTTTGAATGTTCTGTAATAATTGTGTCCCAAGAATTAAGTCAAAATCTCTTCTGAAACATCATGCTTTAAAGAATTTTCAGGAAATACTATTTTAAGAAATGTGAGCTCCTAGTAAAAATTTTAGAAAACATTTAACTCACTGGGTGCCAGTGTCTCACGCCTATCATCCTAGCTACTCAGGAGACTGAGATCTGAGGATCTAGGTTTAAAGTCAGCCTGGGCAGGCAAGTCCGTGAGACTCTTACGTCCAATAAACCACCTGAAGACTGGAAGTGACACTGTGACTCAAGTGGTAGAGCACTAGCCTTGAGCTGAAGAACTGAGGGACAGCGCCCAGGCCTAGAGTTCAAGTCCCATCACTGACAAAACAAAAAATTTAACTCAAAAAAAGAAACCATGAAGAAAATGTCAACACATTGGACTTATCTAACACAGATCTAAAATAGGTTCTGCTGTTGTTCCATGAATTTAAAAAAAAAACCTTAAAAGATTGGGATGTTTTCATATGCTTCATTTTATCACACTATGAGGGCACTAAAGATAATTAATGCTTCCGTTTAAAACCAGTATTTTAATGCAGATCATTCTTTTCTCAGAGAAAGATTTTTTCCTTTCTGATTAATAATTTGAGATCTCCTTGAATTTGGAATGTAGTTTGATTTGTTTGTTTACTTGCTTGTTTTTCATTTGAAAGATGGCAATATATTGTAAAACCTCGGCTTTTTCTATTTTAATTGGCAATTTCAGTCCTTAAAAGAAAATTTTAGGGGCTGGAAAGGTGGCTCAGTGGTAAAGTGCTTGCTTTGCATGCATGAGGCCCTGGGTTCAATTCCTCAGCACCACATAAGCAAAAAGAAAAAAGCCGGAAGTGGCGCTGTGGCTCAAGTGGTAGAGCGCTAGCCTTGAGCTGAAGAGCTGAGGGACAGCGCCCAGGCCCAGAGTTCAGGCCCCACGACCAGACAAAAAGAAAAAAGAAAATTTTAAATTTAACCTTTTGTCAGTAACAAAAGCCAATTTAAAGATGTCACATTTTAATATTTTTGAGGTCTTGTGAAATATTTGGCCTGATTTTTTTTTTTTAATATGTGCCAGTCTATGTACCAGTACTGGTGCTTGATACTGCACTTTACCCTTTTGCTCAGCTTACTTGCTCACGGTTGGTACTCTGTTACTTTGGTCTGGCTTATTTTTGGTTAATTGGCGATAGAACCTTATGGACTTTTTTCGGTCGAGACTAGCTTCAAACCTCCATCCTCGAGATCTCAGTCTCTTGAGTAGCTAGGCATGAACCACTACCACAAGAATCTCTATTCTTAAACTGGGCACCAGTAGCTCATGCCTGTAATCCTAGCTACTCAGGAGGCTAAGAGCTGAGGTTCCTGGTTTAAAGCTGACCAGGCAGATAAATCCAGAAGACTTTTATCTCAAATTAACAACCAAAAAGCTGGACATGGCTCAAATGGTGGAGTGCTAGCCTTGAATGAACAAGCCAAGGAAGAGTACAAGGCCATGAGTTCAAGCCTTGGCACAAAAAACACATAAAGAATCTCTGCTCTTAAATACATTTTAAGCATTTTCTATTTTAAGATTCCTGCCTTTCTGCTTTATTTTTGTCAGAAGCCAGAGAGAATGCTTCATGCTGGTTTGGCAGTATGTGTTCCTGACCAGCACGCATTTCCTTTATGCCAGAGAGAACACTGATGCCACTTGTAGATGCTTTGTTATTCTGTTGATTTTCATTTGTAGTTTTGTGTGCATTTTTAGTGCATATAAAGCACTCTTTAATTTCTCACCTTGAAGTTGTTAGTAGCGTTTTTTTAAGTCTAAAGAACCTTGAGTCATTATTGTGTATCAGTTATGTCCAGAAGTAAAAAGATGGTGCTGTGAGTCATAACCTTGAAAAGCTTGATTCCTCACAACATAAGAACTCTTAGATTTAATCTTTCATTTGCCAAGATTGGTCCTTTTTAAATGGTTATTGGCATATAATAACTTCTTGACCAGTAATTGCTAAATATTCTGCTACCTTGTATAGGTATAGAATACCTCTGAGGAATTTAAGAGCCATGTACATTTTTTTATATGAATGTAGTCTATATTATTAGTCTCCTGCTTGATAAAGAGACTTTCTGTCTCTCCAAGCCATATCATTAATTTATATAACCTTAAGACATGTCATTAAAATAATTTCAGAGCATATCATTTACGTGAAAGCATTTTATGAATTTAAAGTGCTTTCTAGGTATTAGTAACAACTAAAAAAAATCATTTATTAGTAGGTGCTAGTAGTTTATGCTAGATTTTTAGCTACTGGAAACATAGCTCTTAAGGATCAAGGTTTGAAGTCAGCCCAGGCAAACAAATGGAAATCATATTTCTAATGCGCAAAAGCCATAATTAGAGACATAGTTAAAGTGATGGAGCGCCATTCATGATTGAGAATGCCCCTAGTCAAGCCCTAGTTCTGGCTTTTTAAAAAAATGGATTTATTTGTGTCTTATTGATTGATTTATTTGTCTCTTATTGATAGAATTGAAAGCTGTGTTAAGGCAAACTTTTCTAGCTGTTAAACTCTATGCTGACCAAAAACTGAGATACTAAACATATCTACACAGATACATGAGATCTTATATTTTCCTCTAGAAAATTGAATTGCACGAAAGATTATTGTTGATACTTAGCATAATTTTATCACAAAGAAATTACTTTTAAAACTGCTAGGACAGGGGCTGGGAAGGTGGCTCAGTGGCAGAGTGCTTGCCTTGCATGCATGAGGCCCTGGGTTCAATTCCTCAGCACCACATAAGCAAAAAGAAAAAAGCCCGAAGTGGCGCTGTGGCTCAAGTGGTAGAGCGCTCAACTTGAGCTGAAGAGCTAAGGGACAGCGCCCAGGCCCAGAGTTCAGGCCCCATGACCAGACCCAAAAAAAACAAAACAAAAAAAAAAAAACTGCTAGGACAGTTCTCACAGTAATGCCATGCACGAATGATAGAGCAGTGCTTCAGTGGTTCAGTCTTGGGTTCGCTCTGCAACGTTACGTTGTGCTATCCTATTAGAATTGTAGAGGAATTTGAAAATGAAGCCTAGGAGAGAGATTGTTACTGTTATCTTATTGGTGTTTCTGTATCTTGTAAGCCATATGAACATAATTGTTCTCATGAAATGTTCGTAATCTGTCTGTAAAGGGGACGTAATTGCAGTCCCATGTGATAGATGTGGAGCCTGAGCCTCACGTAGATTGGGAGTTACCTGAAACCATGCACTTACAGCACATCCCATCCACTCTCAGTCTAGTTCTTTCTACTAGTGCTGTCTTTACTCTTGTGTTAAAGCTTTTAATACACTTAGTTCTGGCCAGATTAGTTATAGTTTTGTTTTTAATAAACTTTCATGCACTAGTTAACTCATTCAAGACCACAAATTGGTAAAGTCATCAGTCATTTTACAAATCCGGGTTTCTGTACACCCCACTGCATGCAGATAGAAAGTGCTAGGATCTTAAACACCCCGCTGTCCTGCCCGCTGAGAGCCTCAGTACTGATGAGCATAGAACTAGCTCCCTTCTTTTCCCTCTTTATAATATTTCCCTGAAATTTAAATACAGTGTAGTAGATACTGGAATATTGATAAACGTTAAATATACTTAACATTTTTAATGTTGGGCCACTTGGAGGGAAACTAAAAGTTAATGTATGAAGCATTTTTTTTGTTGCTGACAAGATATTAAGATGGAATGGATACTCAGGAGGCTGAGATCTGAGGATCTCGGTTCAAAGCCAGCCTGGGCAGGAGAGACCGTGAGACTCCTATCTCCAATAAGCCACCAGAAAACCGGAAGTGGCGCTGTAGCTCAAGTGGTAGAGAGCTTGCCTTGAGCTGAAGAGCTGAGAGACAGCTCCCAGGCCCAGAGTTCAAGCCCCATGACTGACCAAAAAAAAAAAGATAGAATGGATCCTTTAGCAGCAAGTAAGCCAGCTGACTACCATCTGTTTGTTTCTCATTTAC